GGGTTACCACACCATTTGCACCCAACAACAAAAAAGCCTTGCATATATACAGCACATTATCAATGTGAATACTTATTATTTTTGAACGAAATGTAAAGTGCCACCACACACAAGCCTAAGAGGTTTATGTGGTACTAAAAATTCATAATTTTTTTTTTTTTTATATGTATTTGCATGATAATTCCGCGATAGACGTGCTTGCTTGCAATTTGCTAGAGCCAAACTTTCGTCAGATGACCACAGAGTGTTTGTGTTCAGAGGTTTAAGATCTAATATAATTTCCATTTGAGTTAAATCTTTTTAATATTGTTCCTTTTTATTATGTGCATTATTCCTTTTTTTTTTTATACAACTTAGAATGGCAAACTAGCTGACAGCCCACCTGATGGAAAGTGGTAACCGTCGCCTATAGACATGAGCAGTACCATGGACATAACCGAGTATACTGTTTCGCCCATGATACCCCCCATACGTTGCCATTCCTGAGGACTCAGATGTTATTCCTCTGTACCCAGTAAATTCACGCCATATCCCACCCTTCAAACCGAAATACAGCCATGCAAACACAACTGGTTCACGGTAGAAACACGAATGGGACAGAGGTACTCAAGCAATCGACTTTTGTACAAAGTCTCCCTCTGATATTCCTTTTTATATGTGAACTAGATGAGCGTATTGGGAGACTAAAACTCATCCAGTTGGTGAAATAAATAAATAAATAATTAAATTTAAAAAAAAAAATAAAGTGTGAAGTGATAACAACAATGATATTATTCTTTCAGACTACCCCTGTATACAATATAAAACCGTGGAATCTATGTGCTGATAGTGCGTAAACTTAATTCGCACCTTGTCGCTATCGTAATTCTGTAGTCAACGTTAAACAGCCCAGTGGTCACCATATAGCATGGTGTTTTCTTAACAGTACAAACTTTGGCCTGTATAAATGTTTTAATCCTTTTAATATAATAAATATATGCATTTATATGCGACGGTTAGCATTTCCCATCAGGTGGGCCGTTAGCTTGTTTGCCATTCTAAGTTGTATAAAAAAAATACAAAAGTTTGTAACGTTGAATGGATGGATATTTATTAGTTTTTCCCGCCAAAAATTACTAAACGGATTAAAATAAAATTTGGTACACCGATGTAACCTATCCTAACTTAGCGCGTAGGATACTTTTTTTGTTATAATACAAAGGTGGCAAACAAGCTAACAGCCCGTCTAATGGTAAACGGTTACTGTAGCCTTTGAACGCTTGCAACACAAGGGGTGTCACGTGTGAGCTGCCGACTCTGACACTATATACTGATTTACGCGAGCGAAACCGCACGGTATAACTCAGTAATCAATAACTTTATCGAAAAAAGTTCAAAGTTAAAGTTAAAAGTTAGTTTCAAGTTAGAATAGGACTACATAGAACAAAATGCATACGATTAAAAAAAATATCAACCAAAATTGGTTTAGAATTAATAAAGATATAGAATAATATCCATTCGTTACTTCTGACGACAAAAAATAAGTGCTTGCGTGGCTGTGTTTCAATTTGAAAAATAATCCTCAAATTTGACTATGCATAGTGCTACTTATTATGTCTATAGCTGACAGTTTTTTTTTATACCACTGAGGTGGCAAACAAGCATACGGCCCACCTGATGGTAAGCGGTTACCGTAGCCTATGAACGCCTGCAATACCAGAGGTATTACTCGCGCGTTGCCGACCCTGAAGAAACCTCTTTACCCCCCTTTTGAAGAACCCCATGCTGTAGTCTCTTGGGAAAACCTCGGCAGGGAGCTCATTTCATAACCTGAGTGTTCAAGTGTTCAAAACATCTCTGAAACCGCGTTGTACGCGACGGTTACCTTTTCATAAGAAAGATTACGTTAAATATTAGATAGTTAAAAATGTTTCGTTATTCTTCGAGAATTATTCTCGATTAAGAGGTTTCATAACGAAGTATGATTACAGCATAGAAAAGGCCATTTCTTCCTTTCTCGTGGGTGTGGTAAGAGGCGACTAAAGGAAGTCGAGGGATGGGCAGCAACGTCCCTCTTAAAACATCTCTAAAGTCTAACTGCGGTTGCCAAGCGTGGCAACTACTGGCAAAACCCCCCAAGGGAAGGCTTATGTTCAGCAGTTTTAAAATATTTAAAATTAATCAATTATTTTCAGGAAATTGACAGACAATTCGAAATTGACACACTTAGCACTTACTTGCATCGGTATTGTAGTAGTATAAATCTGAAGTTGTCAAAAGAAATATATAAAAAAAGACTGTAACGGTATATGCTAATGAGAGACAAATAAATTACAAAAGTATTACAAAATTGTATGTTACAATTACTACAAGACGCGTTAATTCAACTGGTACGAATATGAACGCTCTTAATAACAGCCTATTGTCAAATTTTATCAAATAAAAACAAAAAGTGATTACCTGAGCAATTTGTGTGAACGTTTGAGTTTCTAGCACAATGACTTCTCCATCTTCAGAGCCGACCACCAAACAGCTGACTGAGTACCGATCCACCGATTGCATCTTGAGGGTCGCTATGCAAGCTATCTCTGGCACCTTCCTACTGGGCAGCTCGGTCAAGTGCTCCAAGTATTCTAGCTGCTGATCTTCACTCATTGCCAAGAAGTTCCTTGATTGCGTACTGAGCACTTTCTCAGGTATAGACTTAAAACTCTCCGTGAGCGCTGCTATGACTTCAGTGTTGTGGTTCAGGGGATCCATTAACTAAAAATTGGGATTTTGGAACTTACATACAATTTCTAGGTATAACATATTCGCAATGTAGTAGTTGTAGTGCTTACTGATAACGACAATGATAATGAAATAGTTGCCCCGCCTACGCTATCGCTATCCATTGGCGGGGCACCAGTGAAGCAAGATAGGTGAGGATGAAGTCAGGTCAGATGGCCTATCGGAATGAATTTTACAATAATTTATCATGATGGTCTCCAGGGAGAATCACGTGGAGATCAACCTGAGAGGCCCATATTGCTAGCAATGGGATTAACATCCCCATCACTTTGGGGGGAAAGGGATTATTAGTAATGAAGACTGAGAATCCCATTGCTAGCAATATACCCAACCAGGTCGACCTCCTCGCAGTTCCCCCTGGAATCTATCATGGTTAATTCCTGATGAATTTATCATGATGGGCTAACTGGCCTGTTTTCATTCTCATCTATCATCCTTCACTGGTGCTCCGCGAGCATATCCCATTAGGGCAGGCGGAGTTACCGTTACCATACCATTTTCACCCATAAAAAAAAACATCCCCATCACCAATAATGCTTCTTCCCCAAAAGCAATATTAGGCAACTCCCAGCTGGATGTTGAAACGACCTCAAATGTATTATAGGGCATCAATGGACGCAGGTAACTTAAAGAGTACTCAGGACCCTGTCTTGTATCAGTTTATGGAGAAAGCCGTATTCAACAGTGCAGTATAAATGACAAATAACAACGATGATGTTGTAAAAACAGGGTGCAGCAATAAAATATATATGTATTTACGATATAATAAAACAAGTGAAAAAAAAAACAAGATACGTTTTATAAAAATCTCTCACACAACAAACTTAAAAATAATACATCGTTCTAAAAAACCTCAGTGTTAACAGCCAGTACTAAAACTCCAACAGATGATCACTCAAAGCATTGATCAACATTAATCACTCAAAGCATCAGCCTTGATACACCTTAAAAAAGTAAATGTGGTTAAAAAAAACTTACTTGTTTCCAAACCTCCATTTCGCATGTATTAAACTCGACAGTTGGCAAATAGTACTTGTAGAAAATCTTCATATTGCGATACATGTGTATACAAGAGCTGAAAGCTATACCAATAACTGGCTGCGAGCGCGGCACTGTCTCATTTGTATAGAAACCAACTACGCCAAGCGGCAGATCCGGGAGCACCATGTCGGAGACTTGCATGGCACCTTTGAATACCTATAAAACAACAAATATATCTAGATAAAGTGAAACGGTGAAACTGGTAACCGATTGGGTAGAAAGATTTTCAGATCCCAGGTCCACATACAGGCTATTTCTGCGGTCTACAACCCCACATCCCTTCCCGCCCTTTTTTAAATTAGATAAAAATGGAATGACATCTACAGCATACGCTATATGCTAGCTAACTTGACCTATCGTGATTAATTTACAAAGAAGTTTCCAGATTAACAATGAGGCTTTTTATCCCCATTATTAATAGTCCCTCCCCCTATTTTAGAATGAATTTAAATAAAATTTTGTACACATTTCAATATTAATTAATTATGATATGCTTAGTTCTACACTGATACAGGGCACTTTGATCAAAAAGACCGCCGAGCTCATAAAAACACGTCTAACCTTAGTAGTACCACAAAGTAAACAATAATACAATACAACTAAAAATTTTATATTTCAGCAAAGATTTCGGAATAGAATTGTTCTTAGTACTTCAAGGGCATATATACTTATATAATAATAATAAAATTTGCAGTCAGAATCTACAAGCCCGCGAAATTTAAAAATTTCCATTTTCTGAACACACTCGTACGCTAGTTTATGTAAATAAAAATGGCAAACAGGCAGTGACCTACCTGAAGGGAGGAGGGGAAGAATTGTTAGTAGTAGGGTTTAACTGACCCATTGCCAGCAATGCACCCTATCAGGTCGACCTCCACGCAGTTCCCCTGGAAATCATCGTGATTAATTCTAGTAGAATTCGTCACGATGAGCTAACAAACCTGCTTTCATCTTCACCTATCATCCCTCACTGGTGCCCAGCCAGTGTATACCGATAGCGCAGGCGGGGTTACCATTCCATTATCACCCATTAAAAAGACACACCAGAAGGAAAGCAGTAACCCGTCGCCTATAAACATCACTGAATACACTGAAACACTCATAGTATTGCTCATGTGTTGCCATTTCTAAGAACTAGAGTATTATCATAAGTATTATGATTATAATACTTATGATAATACCTTTTTCTAAATAGCGAATATAACGAACGCACACAATGTATTTTATCTATATTTCTTCCTTTTTTTTATTCTTTTTTTTCAGTGGTATTTCGCGGCTCACTTTTTGCCACAACAGAATATCAGCGTTTTGCTCTTTTTAGGACAAAGCAAAAAGCTGAGTTGTGGCCATTTTGTGGCACACGCATGAAGAAAAAAAAAATTGTGACTAATTTTATGCATTCTGATTTTTTGTTTTTTTTTTTAATTTTTTGTGCATGTAGCTTTTTTTTATCTTTTTTACTTTGCATTTGTGTCTGTTGGTGTTTGTGTGCTGTAAGAAATGCAAATAAATTATATATCTATCTATTATAATGAGTGCCTGTAATTCCTATAGCCCTTAGCTTCTCATAGCTTCAATTACTTTCATAACTCATCTCATACACGCACGCATCTCTTGGAGACTCCTAACTCTTCCTTTATATCAATTGATTACAATAATACTTTGACTGTCGAGTTATATTTATATATAAAATATATAATAGCAAATAAAGTTATTCATTCATTCATTAAACTTAACAATATTCCTCAGCATTTAGCAAAAAGATTCCTTAAATCTTAAAAAAAAAATTGCCAACGGTTACAAAATTGTATGGATTGGGATGAATAAAACAGGGAAAAATAGATAGGAACTTCTTTTTATTCCCAAAAACACAGTATAAATATTAGGACATATGGTAACTTTTAAGTCAATATTCAATTATTTTATTTCACTGTGATATTATATAGGTAAAAAGCGACAAAAATTCTTCATATGAAAGCGCACTACTTATTATATCACTAATGATCAATTTTTAAAAACATGAATTCACGTTTTTGTCTTCAAAATATTAAGTTAGAAATTTTTTTACACACTTATAGGTGTGTGATGGTTCCTCTTAGCATTTCCTTATTAAGGATATTTTTCTTAATTTCACTAACTACTGCGTCTTTTTTTTACAACACAGGGGGCAAACGAGCATGCGGCTCACTTGATGGTAAGTGACTACCGCCGCCCATGATCACTTACAACACCAACGGCATTGCAGGTGTGCCTTTTAAAAAGGAATATGCTCTTTTCTTAAAGGATATGTTGTCGTATCGGTTCGGAAATACTGCTACTGGAAGTTGATTCCAAAGAGTGGTTGCGCTTCTCTAATTTATTTCTTTGCTAAATATACTTTAGGAAACTGAGCGATCTGAGTACGTTGTAAGTCAGTTAGAGGAATTTCGCAAATAAAGGGTAAGTCATTTGACCATTGTAATTTAGATAGTGACTTTTGTATCAGCTTATCTTTGTCACATTTTTGTGTCGCATTTATTTTTAAACCTTGTCGTACGTACAGTCATCTTAATTATATTCTTGCACGCTCATTATATATTTTGTTACTCAAGCGGACGTTATCTTCTGATTGTCTAAATAAGTTTTTAACAAGTTTTGATATAGTATACGATTGTTAAACAATTTTATAGCATACATTTGTATGTAAATTACTTGTGCAATTTTCTTTTTCTCTTAGCACTTGTAAAAAAATTTTCATGAGTCTGTACCCATTGATTATGTGTCATATTTTTATTAGCTGTGGAAGCCAACGCTGCCACTTCAGACCCACAAATTCGACATTTGAAATCCCCGTCAGTCTGAGTACATTTTGTCAGTTCCTTACTATTGCATGTACTATCTTTAGTAGTCTCACAAAGTCGGCATACGAAATCAACATCTGTTTGTGTGCCTATACTTAATTGATTATCATTTAATGTTCGTTTCGGTAAATTTAAAGAAGGTATTGCCACTTGTATTAATTTGCTTTTAAAAAAATCTGATGGAACAAAATGTAGAGAACAGATGCGTTGATTCTTATGGAGCGTTTTTATGTTGTACCTCTTTAAATCACTGCGACCAGTTGCACGGATCCATTGTCGACATCTAAAACAAACAATATGTATAATTGAATTTGGAAATATACAACAATACACTTGTATTTTACTGCTATCTTTTATTCAGATTAAATTGACTTATTTCATGCTATTAAAATTTTTTTAAAAGTTTATTTATGTTTATTTCACCCCACATGATAATTATTAATAGAAAATACAAATAAAAACAGCCAATTTTTATTTAATAGTAAAAATCAGGTAAATAAATAAATAAAACATATATTTAAAAAAAATAAATCATGAAATTCTTATATCATTTCAATAAATACTCAGAATTAACCTTCACTGTAAATCTTCTTAACATAAAATCCAGATTCAGCATCTTTTAAAATTTAATTATCTCTCAACTTTTTTCTTTTTATAAATATTTCTAGAAAGATTTTGTCGAGTCTGTGTCCACTGATCATGTGTCAGATTAATACTAGATCTTGAAGTTGTCAGGGTTTCTATTTGAGTCTTGCATTTTTTACAAGTGACGTCTGTTTGTGTGTGTTTTGTCATTTGATTACAATTGTATGTGTATTGATTTACAACTTTGCAAGTTTGACAATCAAAATCTACTTGTGTAGATTTTGTTGTTGGGTTACACAAATCTAGTGTAGGCAAATGTAAAGTAGGAACAGCAATTATTGTTAATTTATTTTTAAAAAAATCAGTTGGATCGAAATGGAGAGAACAAATACGCTGAGTCCTATTGATTGTTTTTATATCACATTTCTCTAAGTCACTGCGACCAATTACATGGATCCATTGTCGACATCTAAAACAAATATTAAGTATTTATTGTACTTCACTCTATTCAAATAATAAAAAAATTTTAACCATATTAAAACTGTACATCTAAACTAGTATTATAAGGAGATATTTTTTTTTGTTTGTAATAGATAAACTTAAAAAAACAGTTAACTAATTTAAAAAATTCTCTCAAAATCATTCATAAATATTTTATGTTGCATGTACAGACATATGTGTGAGAGACACATATAATACGCATAAAATTTATATGTTGTATATAAATGTAAACTATATATACATACAAATAAATTCCATCATATCAAATTAAAATTATTACTGATTCCGCAAAATGTAAACAAAATTATACTTACTCCATATTTAAAATTGCTACATGAAATTTGCTTGTTATTTAAATTTTAAAATAGTTTATAAAATGTTTACCTCACTTCGTCCGTAGGGAATGAGTGGAATGATTTTTTTGTCTTATCACATCGTGAACTGTAGCATCCTTCTACAGCACAAACATGTCCCATTTTACTACTTGATCTCGGCGAACCAAAAGATAAAGTAATATGTGCGTGAAGCGACTAATATAGTAAAACGCTAGTTATTTGTGAATAAACAAATAATATTAAATATGTTTTGACCATGAATATAATAAAATAATTAAAATTAAAGACGAAGAAAAATGCACCAAAAACATTTAAACAGAAACATAAATACTCAATCAAATAGTCACTACATTAAAAGAGTTAACACAGCTCTACTATCCATGAAACCTGTAATGCAATACATGTTATCTTTTCAAAGAAATAACACAATTAATATTAAAAAAGATAATATCCATAGTCGTGTTCCTATCATACCCATAATGTAATTTAATCATACTTAACTACATTCATTTTATTATTTATTTACCGGTAAAAGTCTGTTAACAATTGTACTAAAAATATCACCTGTTCTTTGTATTATATCACACTTAACACAAACTTATTTATATTTTTATTTATTACAACGTAATTGATCAAAACATAAGTTACTTATTTTAATATTTAAAATATATATATTTGTAAGTGAAGCACTGTTTTTAAAATGGTAACATAGATCTATACTAAAACGTCATTTTACGGCATTGTTTAAACTGTCGCAGGTCTGATGTAAATAAGTTACGATGGAGTTACTACATGCAAATTTTTATTTTTACCCAACACCAAATATTTTTCCTCAACAGCGAAGAAAAAGCCATTATTTTCGTTTTTACTTTTCCCTCTTCTCTTTCAATCATATATTTTATCTAATTATGTATTATACTTTATTTATCTGCACGGAGTTTACAAGTACTATAAACTGTGTCATTTATTTTTTTTCTTTTTTGTTTAAGGGACACAATTAAATTATACATAGATTAAATCTTCAGATCTAATCTCTAGTTGATATAAGAGATATACCTACTTACCTTTAATTTTGGCCCCTCTTCTCCCTTTCCCAAGTCACCGACAAGGAGTTTAATTTCATTATCATTATGAAGATCCACAAGAGTTACATCGGAAGGTAACGTGTTCAGTACTATATCATCTGTTCCTACTTCTACATCTAGCCAACGAGCCATGCTGTTCATATTTACTAAATTAGAAAAAATAAAAATCTTTAATTAAGGATAACATATAAGTATGATAAATTGAAATTAATTAAAATTTTTAGAAATACTGTAATTGTTTGATATTAATGTTGCTATAGCAACCCGGCGCGGCGAAACTGAATGCTGGATACACGTTTGTTTCTGCACGGCACAGTCAAAATATCATTTATACGCGACTTGAACATTATTAGTAATGTAATGACCATAAATAGAAACAATTTATAATAATAATTTAAAATATTATTAGATTTTTTTATCACTATGTAGAGGCAATATTTACTGTTGTTCGCTCGCTAATACTTTTTAGGAAATATTAAGCATAACAATATTCAAGTTTGACATCAAATTACAGAAAATATCAAGCAATTTTGTTATACAAGTATTAAACGAAATATCTACCTATTGACTATTGTCAGTGATTTGACATCTTAAAAAAATTAATTTAACTATCTACTGACATGGACAGGATAACAATGGGCTGCTAGCAAACTGTCTACTGTTATACACGGATAGATAAGAATTTTTATTTTTATCAAAATATCAAGTATTCTTAAAATCAATATAATTTCCAGGACTTTTACCCAATCATAAACTTATATCGTTTGGAGAGAAAGGGATTGTTAATAATGTGGTCTAATTGACCCATTACTAGTAATACATTCTATTAGGTCGATCTCCACTTGGTTTCTTTTGGAAACCATCGTGGTTAATTTTAATGCAATTCGTCACAATGGGTGAACTGACTTACCTTTTCATCCTTACCTATCATCACTCATTTGCGTCCCGCCAGCGTATGTCGATAGCGTACGCGGAGATACCATTCTCCGTTAATAAAAATATTTTTACTACATCACATAATTTTACACAGGAAATGACTAAAAAAGAAACATTATTTCATCTGTTTCTGCTTTTAGTTGATCCTTTCTTATTATTTATTTATTTAAACTTTAATGCACAGTAAAATTTTATATACAGGGTGGCCCATAAGTCCTTAGTAATGAAAAAAATTAATTAAAATAAAACTAATTACACTATGAATAATATTTTTATTTGTAAATATAGCTAGAAAAACGGGAATTATTTTTTGTAAATAACGTCGTCCAAATGTAATTTACAGTCACGGCACTCTTGCAAACGCCTTCTGAAATTGTCGATGACTGCTCGGCACGTCACTGCTGAAATGCTTGCCATTTCTCTGAGGATGTTTTCTTTTAGTTCATTAATTGACCGCGGGTTAGAGTCGTACACTTTAGCCTTAATTCCATTAAGATCCAGGCTTGGTGGCCAAAATGCAGAGATAACTTTGTTTGGAAAAAGTTGACAGATAACGGGCATAGCAGTATTGGAGGTGTGGGAAGTTGCTCCATCCTGTTGAAACCATGTTCGGGCATTAAAGCCTGGAAAGTTTTGCAATTTTTGTATGAAAAACTCCTCGATCATGGCCACATATCGCTCCGAAGTAACAGTAACAGCACGCCCTCTGCCGTCCTCAAAAAAAGTAAGGCCCTATGATGCCATGGGCTGACATAGCGACCCAAACTGTAACTTTAGGACTATGTAAGGGCTTCTGGTGCTTAAGTTTTGGATTAATCGGGCTCCAATTTTGTTTACTAACATGTCCGTTAATGTGGAAGTGTGCCTCATCAGAGAACATTATGTTATTGAACGAAGTAAACCGATTAAACATTTCATTAGCATAATTCACTCTCTGAATAGCATCAAATTTTACCAACTGGATTTTGTAAGGGTGCATAAGTAAATCTTTCTTCAAAATCCGTTGTAACGATGTCCTGGATACGTTTAATGCACTGGAACGCTTACGAGTTGACTGTGTAGGATTTTCACGACTAGATTGTGCCACTGTGTCGATGATTTGTTCCGTACGTGATGTCCTTGGGCGACCCAACCGCGGTTTATCTAACGTCGAACCGGTCTCCTCGAACTTAGCAACCCAATTCTTAATCGTTTGGAGAGCTGGGGTGTCATCAAAGTTGTGTAAACCTTTGTGTTCTCGAAATTTACGCCTCGCAACGGTTGCCGAATTGTTGTTTTGATAAAACTCGCGCACACAAAACGCACGGTCCGCTCCGGTGAAACGCTCCATCGCGACTAAATTCCCAGAAACCGAAGTTACTGCCCCCGCTTCCCCTGCACCGCTCACGCGCGCCGTTTTCGTTTAATTCAAATTTTACTTTTCTAAGGACTTTTGGGCCACCTGTACTTACATTTGACGGACTTAACACCGGACGGATTTCTTTACCATTTAATTATTAGGCAAACCGAGAAATAAATAAACGGTGCATTATTAAAACGAGGAAATGTAAAATATTATTTATTAAACTAATATATTAGAAATATATAATTAGACTAATATAAACATAATATACACACATAATATCTTAAATATATACATATAATAAATAAATACGTAAAATATTACTATATCAAACAATTAGCTGTATTAAAACATTAAATCGTCATAGTCGTAAAATACTGACGGATCTATATGTAATATTTGTCAGATCCGTCAGTATTCTACGACTATGACGAAATAAATATTATCCTTTCCTTATTTCTTTTTTCTTATGCTCCTATCATTCATGTCATATGTTTTATTATATCCATAAACCTCTAAATAATTTAAAAGAATCGAAATTGATCAAAACAATAAATAAAATTTCTTAAAAAATCCAATTCACTATTTTCAAAAATTTAATTTCTCCAAAATTTTGGGAATAGAATTTTTTTTAACCAATATTGTCAAAAGTATACCCAAATTGGCAATGACTGATCATTGCACGTTGTCGTATTTGAATATCTTTGTAGCTGTCATTGTCAGTTGGAATTTTTGAGTAGTCGATTGTCAAAATCAAATGTTACTGTCAATATCAACACACAAACACAGGCGAAAAAAACATAAATAAACATATATCTATCTTTGATAAAGTTTTTGTTCTTTTAAATTTTGTTTAACTTTGTTTTAGTGCATTCTTTCAAAGTTGTGAATCTGAAATAAATAAATAAAGTTCCAATCTAATTATATTAAGATATATACAGTGTAATGACAACGTTTACCTTAAAACCACCTACTGATTTTAATATTTATGGTGTTTTTCGTCCATAATTATATAATAAAGTGTATAACTATTTTATTGCTAAGTGCTCTTCAATCTTTCTTTTAGGTAAGTTTTTTATTTGTTGCTGTAAACATATAAGTACTCGCTCAATTTCGTGAATTCACAAGTTTATTATTTAGGAAACTAAAAAAAAAGTAAAATCAAAAAGAGTATTAATTAAGAAAAAACTGCTTCTCTATACAGCACATAAAAAAAAAAAAACTGAAAAATACCTAACCCTTTTCATAAATATTGTTGGATATTGTGATTTTTATATTTTAATAATATTTCTATTATTTAATTCATTTAGAAAAATAAGGATTTGTTACTTACTAAACTTACATATTAATATATACATATTCATGTCTCCCATATATATAAAATAAATTAAAAATATATATATATATATATATATATATATATATATATATATATATATATATATATATATATATATATATATATATATATATATATATATATATATATATATATAATTTATTTATTAAATTAATAATATCCTATAGTAACTTATAAATATTCTCCCAATTATATTAATTTTATATTCTCCCATTAATGTTGTTTTACTGATAAAACAAGATTGCACGCTGATGCACATTATATTAACAGACTTTTTGTGGGTAATAATGAAATGGTAACCCCATCCATGCTATCAGTATATACTGGCAAAATACCAGTGAGGGTTTTTTTTTATTAGATGAAAATGGAATGGTAACCCCGCCTGCACTAACGGGATACGCTGGCGGGGCACCAGTGAATGGTGATCGATGAGGATGAAAACAGGCCAGTTAGCATCATTATAGTTTCCAGGAGGAAACTATCATGATTAGGTCGACCTGGTTGGGTATATTGCTAGCAATGGGATTCTCAGTCTTCATTACTAACAATCCCTTTCCCCCCTACCAGTGAGAGTTGATAGATGAGGGCGAAACTAGGTCAGTTAGCCCATCATGCTGCTGCAAACTGAGTAAAACTAATGAAAGGAGGTCTGTTAGCCCAGCATAATGAATTCTATTAGAATTAAACAGTATAGTTTACAGGGGGAACTGTGAGAAGGTCGACTTGATAATGTGTATTACTAGTAATGGGAAAAATTAGGCCCCATTACTAACAATCCGTTATCCCCCAGGGAAAAGGGATTGTAAGTAACAGGGGATCTAAGAGTCTCATTGCTAGTAATATACCCTATCAGGTCGACCTCCATGCGGTTCCCCCTGGAAACCGTTGTGGTTAATTCTAGTTTAATTTGTCATGATGGGTGAACTGACCTTCCTTTTCATTCTCACCTATCATCCCTCACTGGTGCCCCGCCAGCTCCTGATAGTTCTGGTTACCATTCCATTATCACCCATAAAAAAAAAAAAACTTAGGACAGTAGATAGTTGTTGGGTGATGCTGGAAGAAATATACAAAAAGACAGAGAAAATTTCTAAATGTTATTGTTTTGGCATCTATTCTTTTTATTAAGACCCTGTGTCATTTTTTATTAATTATCTGATGTAAAGACATCGTCTAGTTACAATTTTATTATTAGTAAGTTACCTAATAAATTCCTAGCAAAGTAATACATACAAAAACAGGAAAACTCGGGACAGTCCTAAAAGTCTTGACGTCACATGGCGCCACCCTCAGACGCTATTACGTCAAGACTATTCGATGACTCAGAAGGAAACGAAAATCATAGTCTCTCAACAAAACCTGTAGCTAGTCGCGCGATGCTTTTATTTGCAATCTCTCTGCAGGGAAACGATCGCTGCTCGCTGACTCACCAACCGGTTTCACTGTTCTGTTAAATGTCAACACGAATCTATATGTCCATTCGGCAAGGATGGCTGAGAGATTGGCGAATAATAGACTATATTATAAGGTTCATAGATCAAATAGCCCTTTCCTAAAGAGAGTTGACGTCAGGCCGATCGTAATATCATACGCCAAAACATTGTCTTATGTTTTTAGATTGCATAGGTGTTAAATAATTTAATAGAAGAGAAAAACATATTACATCGACTCCGAGTATATTATTGGGATAAGGGCAGAAAGTCATACGCACAACGGCCCAAATGAGGGGCTAAACGCGGAAATGAGAGTCCAATTTACATTTTACATTAGAAGGACAAAAAGTCATAGTCAAATGGCTAAATTCTCTTGACTTCATAATAATAATAAGTGCCATGCACTTGCACCAATCGGCTGGTCCTCAAGCTAAAATATTCTATGTTATGCGAGACCAGGCAACGAATATCTAAGCGCACGATCCGGAACATTCAAATCCAAGCCAATTCAAATCCATATTTTTTCTAAATTGGGCCAACCGAGAATCGAACCACCATTTACGTCAAGCAATAAACCCACCACTCCTTCATAGAGGGCGTCAATAGAACACAAAGGTCCTCAAGAGTGCCAAATTATATATATTTGACCAATTCGCCTGTATTCTTCGTGTAGGTATATGTTATACATTATATAGGTATTCGCTTATACTAATTAATACATATTTTTGCTATCGTGCGACACATTCTTATTTAAGTATCACGAAAAGCTTAACTGCAGTCCAACCCACATGCCAAGCGTTGCAACTACTGGCAAAACTCCCTTTATGTCGAAGGCTTAAGTTCACCAGTGGACAGTTAACAAATAATAAATCACTGACTAAATTCACAAATTCAGCATAAATCAACTCATGAGAGAATATGTCATAGCAGGTCACGCGGAGGCGCCAGTAGACAATGGGATATAAACCTCGCTCGCTCTTACCATTGTGTAACGCGACCTTGCCTTGTTTTCGCCAATTTGCATAATTATCTAAATCAATTGCATTAATCACTTTAGACGTGGTGTTAGAAAGATCAAAACTATTTATGCAAATAGAAATTAAATGAAAATAAATACATCAGTAAATTCATAACTTATCGGGTAGATCGATTTAGCCTTTTTTTATGTTTCTAATAATTTGATTACGATTTTCGCGGGATAAGAAAAAAACACTTGCAATTTGCCCTAGACAAACATTAGTTGAGTTTTTTTAATGGATGATAATAGAATGGTAACCTTGCCTGCGCTATCGGTATACGTTGGCGATGCACCAGTGAGGGATAAATGGTGAGGATGAAAAAGCAAGTCAGTTATCCCATCTTGATGAATTCAACGATAATTTAGTAACGATGTTTCCACGGGGAACCGCGTGTAGGTCGACTTGATAGGGTATATTAATAGCAATGGGGACTAATAACCCCCCCCCCCCCCCCCCCCCCCCGCCTCACCCTAACGTTAGTCCAATTAGCTCATATCAAAAAATAGAACATTGTATAATGAATTTAATCTCCACTTCTTGGTTAAAACTATTTTTAAACAGAGCTGTAAATTAAAAATTTAAAGTTTAAATTAAATCGGCACTTCTCTTTTTTTCATTTTTGATACTTATGTATTATATTAGTGTTTTGGATTTGTTATTATATTTCTTACGTATTTCCATGAGACTTTATTAATAATAACTCTATACTATTTAACCTTTATTTGCATGATTTTTTCTAGTGATGCAATAAATCAAGGTGATATAATTCATGTTTAAAATTAAAGGAAAAATGGTTAAAAAATTAATTTGACAGTTATGGTTTTTTTTTTCTGCAACGGACATTAAAAAGGTATCCAGACACGATCAACTTAAAGTGAAATTGTTCTTTTATATAATTTTTGGGCGTTCTATGTTATGATAGAAATTTCCACCAGTATGCAAAAAGGGTTAAAATACTGTTATTGACACTGTAAAGGTCTTTTGTTGTAAAACTATGGTTTATATTGTTAATATTTATAAATGACTGTTTGTTGCCATAAACAAAAATAATAAAATAAAACTAACACTGATATGTCAAAATGATCGTACTATACATAAAGATTTCCTATTTCTGATTAATAATTAGTTTTTTAATCTTATCCTTAGCAAAGGAATATATTGAGAATGGTCCTAGTTAGATTAGGATTTAATAAATTAATTAATAAATTATTAATATACGAGTAAAGTTTTTGGAGTATTAAATAGCTTGTTATGTAACTTTAATTTCTTTATTCGTTGTAATATTGTCGAGGTTTCTCAATCAGAAAGAAAATTATCTGTTCGGTGTGATAGAGGGAAGGCACTGTCTTCCAGCGAAATAGCGCAGCGTTTACGCTTCGGTCACAGTCACGCTACATTCCTGCTCATTTGCACCGGTCAGTCAACTATTCTGGTGATAATCGAACGCTGACCGTAGTACTTATAACGTTATACTTTACATATTTGTTTTATTTACGACTACGTACATCGCCCGACCTCGTCCGTTGCCGTATCGTAATCTTGAAATTGACTAACTTGAATTGACTATAAATGTTACCCAATGAAATGAGCTATCAAATGCAAAAAAAAATCCCATGATTGAACCAGAGATTAAACAAACAAATTTTTCTGCTTTTTTGTATTTTTTTTTTTATGCAACTTAGAATGGCAAGCTGATGGCCCACCTGATGGAAAGTGGTAACCGTCGCCTATAGACATGAACAGTATCATGGACATAACAGACTATACTGTTTCACTCATGCATTGCCATTCCTGAGGACTCAATTAGAACTCTTTACGAACATCTAATTGGTCTATTTCGTCAATGAAAACATCTGAACCTGTACCGTTGTAGTACGGTACTTGAATACTTCTTAAGAAAAGGCAAATGCGATCATTGAAGTCCGAGATACACCGATGAGTGTACCGTTTGTGCGTCGGGATGTAAACCACCCGAAACGCATTCATGCAGAAAAACCAGTCGAGTTTTATTTTTTATTAAATGAGAATAGAATGGTCATCCCCATCTGCATTATTTGTTTACGCTGACTGAATGTCAATTAAAGATGATAAGCGAAGATGAAGTCGGATTCGTTGGACCATCGTAACTAGGAATGAACCAAAAGTTTTCAAACAGGACCATGCGGTCCTTTTTAAAAACTCCTTGTATTTATTGTACTATTACACGTACGTGTTACTGTAACTGTAATGTATTGTTGCAACAGGTCGATCTCCA